GGTATGAGAACTGAACAAACGCAAGCTCGATATCGATGAGTGCTCACGTCACTAAGTAAATAATCCCTAATACTTCCTAAAAATTACAGCGAAAAAAGATCATCAAATGTTGAACTATGCAGGAAATTTATAAAAGTTTGGAAATATGCTCTGTCAGCTTTCTTTGACAATCAAAGTTGCATCAAACGAAGTGATAATTATTTTGCTTCTTCATAGTCATAACCTTCTTGTAGCGCAAAACTCTCCACATGGCCCGTAACTAGCACAACTGGGTTCAGACAGTAATAAGCTAGAGGAATCTATCGATTCACCGTCACCAAAATTATAAGAGGCTCTAAACACAGCTGATACAACCAGTCGCTTCTAAGGGTGCGTTTGTCTGTAAACGTTACTACAGGTCACGTGGGGCCTTCATGTAGGTTCGTAATGATGCAGGAAAACCAACCTGGACAGCTGAACAGATTCACGACATAACGGACATTCAGGCTGGAAACAAAGAATAAAAAAGGAAAAGAGATTAAAGGTAGTAAGTACACTATTTTGCTTCTTCTTGCTAAATCACTTAGGGCGCTGGACTTGAAGTCTGGTGGTTCCAGATTCAGCCCTGTATTTGTTCTCGGTTACCACGGGTTCAACTCCTGTGCTGCGCTTTGTATGCAGCCACCTGGTCTGCCTCCAGCCAGTTGGGATTTTAAAACACAATCTTCGATCCGCTTGGTTCGTATAGGCCCTGATTTCACACTTATATATGAGTTTTTCATATATAGACATAATGGGTATCAATCTAAGAACCTTTCTGTGGGTTACCTCATCCATGAATTTTCCTTCGTGCAATGTCACATCGGACGATTTTCCTCCCTCTTCTCTTTTTGCAACTCCACTCCCCCCATACTGCACCATTTTTCTAGTGGTTGCTTCGATGACCGCTCAAAGTGGGTTTTATTAACAGAAATGAGCAAAAAATACAATAAATTCGGGCTAAAGGGTTTGACTGTGAATTATTACTGATGTTATTGCTGGTTCAAGAACGTTTTAAAGTTTTGGTACTCAACGTAATCGACTTGTGGCTACGAACCTTGCTGGCACACCATTCTGTAATACACTTCCAACAGAAAAGATGTCCACACGGAGTCGCTGTCTTCTCTTGCAGTTTTTCCAAGCACAGTGCACATTTTATACCGCTACTAGTATTGATGCTTGTAGCCGGTGGCTTATCTTGTGAGACGAGGCGCTCCAATGGTTTGCCAGATTTCAGATGCTGTTCAGACACAGACAATTCAATGTTTACCGCAGGTGACTTGTCGACAAAGTAATGAACGAAAGATTGCGATTCACCCGCGTGTAAAGATTCCATGCGACACGAAGAATTCTTCTTCCCGTATACTCAACCCTTTGACCCCACAAAGTGACTACCATCTCATTTCTCCTTACAATATCACCCCCGAATCACACATTATGGTCGCGAGACTAAATGAAACGATCACTAACAAAAGAAGCCCTTGATTGTTAAACAAATTCTCCTTGTCAGCACCTTAAAAAATGTATAGAAAACAGCATGGAGAATATGCGTACTGATGTAAGGGGGTAAATCACCAGTTTACTACTAAAATCCATGGCGACCTCGTTGCAAATGCTTCCCAATGTGGACAATCCAGTCGAGAGGATTTTACCCAACCAATGGCATATCCTCTCTCCCTCCCCCCTCCCTCCCAAAAAAAACTAACAAACAAAAAGAATATCCTAAGAAGTTCATGGAAAGTGAGAAACAGCGTGCCATATTTGCTTTGTTTAGTTTATCTTCCTTTCTTCGTTATTAATTCAATAGCTCGGAAAAGCCTGACATTGACAACAATATCCTGACACACTTCCTCAGGAGTTTTCATCCCCGGTACCCCCGTAAGGGAGACGATTCAGCTAAGGCTGCAATAAGGAGTGAAAATACTATGATACCATTTCTGTTTCATAAAGGAAAGAGGGTTATGATTGGGTACATGGAACACAAAAAAACCGTGTCACCATCTCACCTGGAACATTGTCAGAATCAAAGTGATAATCATTTGTACAACGGACAGATAGCCAAGCAGGCGGTAAGTTGGTCTGGAGCCGTCATTCCTGAGACTGTTTCGTACAAGCAGCTGCAGGCAAATCAATGAGATGACGATAGAATTATTTCAATTATTGCGGCGCTCAGCGGTCTGTGCGTAGAGGATGTTCTTTTTTGGCTAGCTGTCGCAATTTAAACCTTTGCCAATTCTTGTTCAAGCAGTTTTGATTAGTTGTTGTTGTTGATTCTCAATCGTTTACCTCCCAGTAAATTTCCTTGCAGTAAAAAAGTATCCATTTATACTCCTATGTAGACAAAGGCACTGCAAGGATGAAGTGTCTAGTGGCAGAGCACAGGTAAGTAACTTCGCTAGGGCTTGGAACCCAAACTTTTCGATCTAACGTTTAGCTCGTTTTCTGCAACTTTTTGTTTTTGTTTTTGCTTTTGAACGAACGAGGAAAATTGCATTGATAAAAATCTTATTACCCGAGTTCATTTGCCTACCACGACATAGATGTTATCCTGAAAAATTACTACACTATCTCTAAACACCATTACTTACGTATTGAATTCCAGTGATCCTTTTCGCAATATGATAAAATATGCCGTTCAAGTAAAACAATGCCAGGTGCGTTCGGTGGACATCTGTAATATTCACAAAGTATGTAGGAAACATTAAAAACTGTGGTTTTAACCTACGGTGGAGTCAGAGTTGAAGTCAAAGGCGTAATCTGAGGAGCAGAGGGATACGATCAAGTGAAAATCAAATCGACGGAATCTGAAGAAAACCATCCACGTCTCTAACGACTCCGTCGCCTATGACCCAATGAAAACTACATTATCGGAGCCGTAAACCATCGGATGGCCTTAGAACTTGCAATGTGATTGGTTGGTTCCTGCACTTCTGTTTACGACTCCGCCAATCTAGTTTTGATTGGCTCAAATTAAGCGTCAAAGTCACAAGAGGAATCGGAAGAAAATGAAACCGTTCTTCTTCTTCCGATTCCGTCCAGTTGACGACTCTTCTTTCGACTCCGATTCTCGATTTTGGGTCGGAAGCGCTCCTACGACTTCGACTACGACTATGACTCCGTCGCCAGTGAAAACCAGCCTTAAGTGTATTTTCACTAGCATGTTCATAATAAGCATGCCCCCTACAAAGTTACGGATAAACGAAAATATTATCAGTTTGCAATCCATAATCAATCAAATATAAAATGAATATAAAATGTTTTAGTGATGACAAAACAAGCAAACAAACAAAAAGAATTAGCAGCTAATACTTACAAACAACACCTGCTCTGACAATGGGGATCAAGGTGGATAAAGTATTTCTCACTCTTGGATGAATTCCTGCAGTAAAGAAAACTACCGTTAACCTGCTTGATTCCTTTTAACAACACCACACTGAATTGCAGAAAAATGCTTCCCTACAAATTTCATCTCATTATTAACCAAAGAAATCTCCCATTAATAGCAACAGAACCATGTTTGTGTGATGATGTATCTGTGTGTTTGTGTGATGATGTATGTGTGTGTTTGTGTGATGATGTATGTGTGTGTTTGTGTGATGATGTATGAGTGTGTTTGTGTGATGACTGTCCTTCTGAAATACCACACCTTCTTCTCTGTCCAACTGTCTTTAACTCTTTACACCCTAACATCAGTATTCATATTCTCCGTACTGTTCTCTGTACATTTACTAAGGTACTGACAAGGAGAATTTGTCTAACAATCAAGCATTTTTTTACTTAAAGATCATTTCTTTTATTTTAATGACATCAATATGTGATTCAATAGTGATATTGTAAGGAGAAATTAGATGCAAATCATTCTTAGGGGTTAAAGGGTTAACTGACATTCAAAACCTTTTTCCACATCAATGGTCATCAAATTTGAAAATCAAATCAATCATCCTTAACATTAACCCTTTCACTTCCACATCAAATTTGTAATTCTTCTTACTATCAACCATACAATTCTTATAAAGTTAGTTCAGAGAATTTAGTATTTGATCAACAAATTATCCCCAAATTGATATGTTTCTCTATTCTCATCACTTATGTGGTTGATATTGTATTGATCTTGTGAGGAGAAATTCTATCTTGGTCACTCACGAGAGTTAAAGGGTGAAACTATGATCAAGTGTTTTAGTTTCTAGAGAGTTTTATCAAATTTATAAGTATTTGCATCAACTGCTAACAAAAAAATTCCTCAAATGAAGAAAAAAATTGTTTTGTTAAGTAATTAGTAACCAACCAAATTAATAAAAGGACACAAAATTCTAACCATAAGGAGAATCGCCTTGGGTTTGCAACCAAAGTTCCAGCCTTGTTAAAGCTTTGTCAATCAGATATGGACCAAGTGCGTAGAGAAAGACAAGACTTCCTCGCAGCTGTCAATGTTAAAATAAAAACTATAAATAATTCTAACAGCAATTACTTGCATAAACACAGAGCTCAACATCTCCGAGATTTTGCATCTTTCAGACCCAGTGATACTTCAAGAGCCACATTAATTTCGAAATCACATTTCAGCCATGTCTAAGATAGCTTTAATAAGTCTTACCAATATTTTTTTTCATAACAGTAACTCAAGGCCTAGATCAAATTGTTCTTTTAGTCTTACCAATGTTGAAGGGATCCTTGTCTTGCTTGTGTCCACTTGCACAATATTACAGTACTCCTCACCAAGTGTCTGATATCCTGAGGAAATGGTTTATGAAGCTTTAACATGATGGTAAGTTAATTATGGGTCACTAATTCCTATAGCTAGAATAACTTTGTATGGTATACACACAGCACAGCTGAACAAACAAATCAAAACCCTTCAAAAAAATACACAAAAATTACCATGATCAAGATCCAGTTATAGTAGTCAAAAATACAAAAAATATAATCAGGAGGCAGGAAAATTGAAATCAACTGGTAATATAATTGCCAACTAATTCAATATTTTCCTTACACATCAACAAATGACACCATTTTCCTTATCAGCAACAAAAATAAAGAGAATTTAGGTTATCATGGGACTAAAACTCAAAACAACAAAACCTTCAAGTTCCCTCACACTCAATATAAGTTTGTTTATGAGTTTTATGCTTCTCAGTTTACACTCAATGTTAAGTTTGTTTATGAGTTTATTTATGCATGCTTCTCACCTTTCAAAACAAGGCTTATAAACTTAATTTTTCTTTGGAAATAAATTGTTAAGAAACCCATAGGAAACCTTTCCTGGGAAAATTTGATTTTTCCCTCTGAATTATAATAACCCTATTTAATTTCTCTCTCCTAGTGTTGTAAATACTTCCAAACATTTTATGAGACTAATTTTAATTTTCATTTATATTATACCTCCCAAATCCTAAGGTACCTGTAACTTTCTGCCTTTTAACAACACTCACTAACTTGATACAGCATTAAACTACATAACATACCACTTATTGTAGTTAGACCAAAATAACAGATGTCAGCAAATAAATCTAACTCTGTCTTCCATTTGATCCAAGAGAAAGGGCCTTCAAAAGATAAATCAATGATGTTTTAAGAACAAGCTTAACCTGGCCACTTCCAGGAAATAGGCTCAAAACATTGGCAAAATAAAGAGAATTGTTGTGGACAATGACATGGGAATAGTGATTGCACATCAACATTTATGTTATGAGATAGTGGCAGGATATCTACGTGTATAATTGATTATAAAATAAAATAAAATAAAGTTGGGAAAGTGTACAGCCTCATGATTCATTATGCATATAGTTCTTGGATGAAGAAAACAATAGAATGCCTTAAAAATAAGCTTTGTGTTAGAATTGTGTAGGGTTGCACTGAAATAATTTAAAAACTGTTTTGGTCTGTAATTCATACCAACAGTGTCTGCATTATGCACATGATCAGCAGAGTGCATTTTATACTGATCACTGGACCACGGCCAGAGAGTAAAAAAGAAAAAACAAAACAAAACAAAAAGAAAGGAAAGGCTTTCAAGAATAAGGAAAACATAAGAGGCACAAATGGAATTCAATGAGATGCAAGTACAGTATCTGACTATCGACAATTTGACGAGAATTGCATCATGTTGACCTAGGGTTCGTTGCTACAAGCAGATGCTGACATCATATTTTTTTATAATAAGAAAACACAAAATAAATACTATATTTACTCCACTAAACGTTCTAAGGAATTAACAGCTCTACAAACCTCGTACGTTCCTGAATATTTGTCCGATGCCTTCTCTTAAGAAACCAAGATAGTATACATCTTTCTGGTTTGAACGAACAAGTTCTGGTTGACCTGCTGGCGCAAACATTTTAAACACCTTTTAAATGCATATATCCGTCAAGTCATCTCGAAGAATCCTGCTAAATCAACATAGACTGCAAGCTTATCATGATGAAATCTTCCATCAACTCGTCCGCCATCTTGTTAATTACTTGACGAGGAGGACTGGCGCTAATTTTAGTCACTCCTTCTCAGCCTCCCGCCAACTTTTTGGGGGCCAATTGGATCTCGGGAGCTAATTTCACATGCACTTCTACACCGTCTCAAGGATTTAGTGAGTAAAGAAAATATCAAGAAATATTTTCCAGATGACAGGATGTACTCCATATTAACATTCCATAAATGGTTTTCTTTGCTTGCACAACCCTAGAGTAACACAAGTTTCCCAAACTTTAGTGCCTGTTTTGTCAGGACCTTCACACTTAAATATCTGTATGCATATTCTTCATACTCTCCTCCAAACTTTTCTGTGGTTGACAAATGGAAAATTTGTTTAAAAGTCAAGCGCTTGTTGGGCAGTTGGTCATTCCCTGTATTCTCATAACCACTAAAATGTTAGTGGTGATATGTAGAGAAAATAGATGCTAGTTTTTAACCCCTTAACTCCCAGGATCTCAGTAGTAATTCTCTTTACTGTCTGCCAAATGATTCTCATTATGATATTTTGGAGAATTTGGTATTGGATCAATTTGTAATCCTATGATTAATGTTTTTCTTCATTCTCATCCCTTGTCTACATGATAGATATAGTAAGGAGAAATTCTGTCATGGTCACTCATAAGAGTTAAAAGGCTAACAGTCAAGGGTCAAGAGGTAAACTTTGTTTTTCATTTTTTTCTTTGACTCATGAACATTTCCTTAAAACTGTGAAAAAATGTGTATCAGTTAATGTCACATTAACAATGATCTTGCCTCAGTGACTGATTTGAGACAATGTCAACAGATGTAATTCCAGAGGGGAGGTTTCACACCTTGAGTACAATTTATAATATACCCGAGTATACCAATCAATGCAAAGTGTTAAGGCCATTAATTATTTCTTTTTAGCAATCACATGGCAAATGAAGTCTAAAAACAATCATGTGCTAAAGACAGTTTTATTGTTAATTGCCACTGAAACACTACAAGAACTCTCAACGGTTTTGACTGATCTTTATTGCTTCAAAAAAACAAGTCTTAATAAATTATAAACAGAAATGTCCTCAATTTGGGAATTATAGTATGACACAAAGAGAGAGTTTCCCACAAATATTTCTCATTTGAAGTTAAGTGCTATCTACAATTCTCATTGGTACAGACAAGGTTGCAAACTTGATTCAAGCTGGGTTCTGTAAGCTGTCCCACAGTTACTTAGATGTCATCATCTTGACAAATTCTGTATAGAGAAAAAAAAAGTTAACACTGCTGCCATTTGCTAAGAAAACATAATTGTTACTGCATGTTCATGGCTACAGAGAATGAAACAACAATTTGGCTGATCTGCCAATTAAGAGCATCCATCAGTTGACCACATAAACCTTTACACCCTGCATACACACTGTATTCTGTATTTATTGACATAAATCAACAGCTTGTTCAGTTGATGATCATTTCCTTTATTCTTGTGACAATGTGTGATTCAGGGGTGATACTGTGAGGAAATATTAAATGTTAGTCACTCTTAAGGCACACAGGATCTAACCAACCATGATTTCGGAAGAGCTGGTTCAATTGAACTGCAGCCCCATGGTTGGAGAGAGGTATTACAAATATCTCTTTATGACAACTGCACTCTGCAGAGTAAGGGTTACCTTCATAATTGACTTGCCCATCTCCATCAATGTCTGCTTCTCGGATCATCTCATCAACTTCCTCGTCTGTAAGTTTCTCTCCCAGGTTTGTCATCACATGTCGCAACTCAGCAGCACTAATGAAACCATTTCCATCTTTGTCAAACACTCGGAAAGCTTCTCTGATTTCTTCCTCACTGTCAGTATCCTTCATTTTCCTTGCCATCATGGTGAGAAATTCAGGGAAATCAATTGTTCCATTACCTGTTTCAAAAAAATATAAATTCTTGGTCAATTCCATGACCCGGAAATCAACCAAATGATAAATAAAATGGAATCCATCACCCATTGCAAAAGTGATGTTCAACTATGTGCCAGCATGTCATCACTAGCTGTAGTTTCATTAGAGATCAGAATTGTATTAAATCCTCTCACTCTCTTGAGTGACCAAGAGAGAATTTCTTCTTTCAGTATCAATATTATCTTAAACAGACAAGTGATGAGAATGGAGAAAGGAATCACTTAGGGGATTATCAGTTGATCCAATACTAAATTCTCTGAACCAACATCACAAGAATTGTATAGAATTAGTAAATTAGATCTTAAAAGTCTAGCTAGTAACTTGTTTGTGGAACCACTCTTAGAAATAACACAAATTTCCAGCATCTCACATCAGGCACTGGCCAATGCACATTTCGTCGCAGAACATGGATACCAAGCTTTCACCAATCCTTAATTTTGAAACTACAGTTTTTGATCCAATATAAAGAGTCATTGTACTTTTTGCTGTTCATTTATTCTGTGCCTAATTCAAAGCTGCATTCTTGCCAAGGAAATTTTCCAGGTTAATCATTACATACCATCTGCATCAACTTCATTGATCATATCCTGAAGTTCTGCTTCAGTTGGATTCTGTCCTAGAGATCTCATCACTGTTCCAAGTTCCTTAGTGGTGATTGTACCATCTCCATCCTTGTCAAAGAGCGAGAACGCTTCTTTGAATTCTGAAGATAAGGCAGAAACAAGTAATGGGTATGATAATTTGCTTAGTTGAACAGAGCTCATATTACACCGTTAGGATCCATTGGATTAATTCTTTTGAATTTGTGTATGGTGCAAATGATGACTAGCCAACTGGAATTCAAAGGAGATAATACAGCACTACCAATTACAGAGAGTTCTGAAATAGAGGAAGTACCATGTAAGTGAAACCTAACAACCAAAACTAGTTATTATCACTTTCTTCAATTTTTATATATATATTTTTCCCCACAGTTTGGTTTTTTATTATTTGCCATGTATTTGCAAACATTTGATTTTGGCCCTAAACCATCTAAGTGGGCACTTATCCCATGTGATATCGCAAAATGCACAATAAATCACAGGTAACTCTTAAAACTTAAACATCTTTCTCTCCACCTTTAAGAAAGAGTAAACACCAAAAATGCTAGAAAAAATGGTCTTCACTTACCAGCAATCTGTTCTTCTGTAAGTTGATCAGCCTGAAAAACAAACAAATATTAGTTCTAATGAGATAACAACAGAAAAAGTTATCGCCAGATCTGTCACTGCTCAAGAGGAGAGTATGCGAAAAATAGGATTTGATCACACCAGCATCTGTCAGAAATATCATGCATTGTACAAATCCTTGACAGCTGAAATATTCTGCTCTCAAAAACTAACATCTCAGTCCAATAATTCTTTTTCATTGGCAAAAAAGTTTATCAAGAAGCTGATTACAATTCTTAATTTCTGGTTTGCTTTAAAACACAATATGTGTACTTATTCTGAATGACTGCTACAGCTATATATTTTTATATTCTTTGTACATATTGGTTACCCTCGGATGAAAGAAAGTCTGTGAGCACTGTGAGCATTTGAACTTAACCAATTCCCTCCAAGGTTCCTTAAAGGATGCCATAAGTTTTAAGACTAAGGTCTTGCACCAGTCCTTTGCAAGAACCATAAAATCCCAGCTTAAGAATTCAATTGTAGTCTCTGTGTAAGTCATTACCAAGGTGACCATGCTTACATAAAGCAAAAATAAATTGGTCAAGCAAAAAAGGTGCACAAACACACAACAGTTTTCCAAGATCCTGGATATGAAGAAATTGGCAGTCCTTAAATCAGGGGCAAAATTTCAAGAATTTACTGTGAACATATGAGGTTTTGAAGTAATACTCTTGCAAAGATTAGCACACCAATGTGTGCAGGTGTTGGACTGCATATATTATACCTATGCAACATCTGTAGGCAAGGACAATCATGCTTTTCATATTTTCTTCCAACAAGTAAGACGACCTTAAGGTATAGAATTTGCTCAATGTTTGTAACACACTGATTAATTCTTCCTTTGAAAAGCACACAACATGGAAATAATTTGTAAACAGGATGCCTTTGACTAGGGCAGCTGCAGACGGCAGTTGAAATCACTCCCTTAATCAATAATTCAATGGTTCCCTAACTTAAAGTGAAAATTTTCATATTCTTTTTGGAGCAAAGATGCAAAACGACTTCCCCAGAAGTTGTGCCAGAAATAATTCTTAGTACTTCCGTTTTACAAACAGAATGGTATATTTGTAAAAAGGTCAATTAAGTTGGAAAGAAATGTTTACACAAAAGCAAACATGCATAATATATTAACCAGAATGGTTTACATCGATGAAGAGGGTTTCAAAGACTGCTCTGATTTAAAATTACAGATTCAAAGCGGATTTTTTTGGCAGTGAACCCACGACCATAAGCTTAAAGTTCTGCACCATGTGGGGATTCCATTAGCTAACTCAATTAGGATTGTCACGACACTAAACACAAGACATGCAACGATAACGCACAAGGCGATCCTTTGTAAACTATACATTCTGCTATAATTAAAATAGTTGCTGATTTAACTCGTAAGATCTTAAAAACAATCTACGAAAACAACGTATTCACATCTAATCGCGGAAGAAATTAAGCAGACAAGATTTCAGGAGCATAATAACAGCTAAAATTGGACTAAACGAAAGTTCTTTGCGCTGACCTATAACAGACAAGTTTAGATATTATCAGTTGGTTAATTTTTATGTCATAAATTGATGAAAATCTTACCATTTTCTGTTCGCTCTCCGTCAAAAATCCCACTTTCTAGAACTTTGAAAATTTATTGCTTGTAAAAACGTTCGAAGCATCTTCGGAAGCCGCGTGAAAAAAACACGGCACGTGATTGGTGCATTCAAATGAAACTGACATTCCAAATTTGGATTGCTGATGCGGAAAATGCGTCGCCTGCGGCTGGTCTGTTTCTAGAAAATAAATCAAGTATTCTTTCCTCAAATAACAAAACCACAAAAGCGAGATTTTATCGAAATCAGCGCATAAAATCAATTCAGTATTAAAAGAAATTTATTCTAAAGCTGGGATTTAGTTTCAGCCCAAAAAATTAAGTCCTCAAATGATTAAGCCGGAATGAATGTTTTTCAAGCCGCATTGATTGACGTCATGTCATTCATATGCATTAAATGCGTCAACTGCGTCGCCTGCGTCAAGTGCGTCAAGTGCGTCAAGTGCAGACTGCGGCGAATTTTTAAAACTGCGTCAGCTGCGTCAACTGCGTCAATTTTTTTGAAACCTTTAGGGGGCTTATCCGACGGATTCTTCTTCTCGGGGAACCTGGAGATCATTTAGTTTCGTCTGAGCACCACATCAATGTCTGTAAACATGTAGAATCTGACTAGGCTTGGGAGATAAAGTGACTTGGACGTAAAATAATACTTTCAGTTTTTCTTGAAACCTTAACTGACTCACGGCGATTCCTTTGTATGGGGGGAGGTGGGGGGAGTAAGCGGGGGTGTGACAGACAATTTATCAC